GTTTTGAAAATTACAGTGTAAAAAGATGGTGAAGGATAAGAATTATCAAATGGAACTTTAAAACACCAAAATATTGGTTAAAATATTTCTGTAAATGCAATGGAAACCGTTTTAAAATGTGCGAACAACCTATGTAGCCTAAGAGGTGTTTTAAGTAAGATATTCCATAATAGTTCCTTGAAGTAGAAGCAGGTGTTTGGGAAAGAAGAATTAATTCATACTCTGCTTAAGAGTTACGTACTATATTTAGCTGTCTTCGTTTTGAAAAATTTTTCATGTAGGAAAAAAAGTTTATAAATACTAAGCTTTGAACAAATTTAGCACTGAAAACTAATAACTATCTTACATCTATTAATGTCTAATCTCCTTCTTTTTTATGAATATTTTTTTAACATAAGTGTCTTTTCTATCTTCATTTTAAGCTGTAGTTTATCTCCATCTGATTTAGAAACGAGTTTGTTAGCTGAGAAAAATATTGTCGTAATCAGGTTTCAAGATTATCGTGACAAAAATAAATTTCCTAGTTGAGAATAATTTTATAGCCACTGTGGTGACTCATAAATAGTGTCTTTTTATGGCCATTAAATGACTTCCACGAACAGTTGACATTCAGTTGACTTTCAATTTCAATTGAAGAGATTTCTGTAGCTAACATGTCTAACGAATGACAGCCTTTACTTATCTATCCAAAAAAAATCTTTAGTTTGAGAGAAATATTTGAAAATACTGTAGTTTATAATGAATATGTTTATTTATTTATTTTAGTATAAATTTATATTCAATAGAAATAAAACTTTAAATGAATATTAACTACAAATTAATAAATGCACATTTAAATCAAAAACAGGGTATAAAAGACGTTACATAATCATTGTTGCGCTGAGGGCTTGCCAATGAAGAAACAAAATCTTTGAAATAAAGATCTTCTCAGTCCCTGTGGTTCAAACTCTCTCTATATAAAACTTATAAGTATATGGGGTACAGTCAGACTCTCCTGACCACGGAATGACCTCATGGTCAATATATTATAAGGTATATGTACTGCCGAAGCAAGTATATATATTATAAGGTATACTGTAAGGCATTTTCTCCCTCCTTTCTGCCTGCCTTCTTGATGCAATGGTAGCACACTCGTCGCGTATTCGAGAGGTCCAGGTTCGAATCCTGGCGAGGACACTGCTTATTTTTCATTTCTCCTGCTTCAAAATAACCCAATAGGCCCTACAGTGTCTTTTAAATTAAGCAGTAAGTTAACCAAATATACTATATACTTATCTAATTACGAAAATTGAATGGTATCAGATAATTAAATGGTATAAGTAAAATATTAATGGGAATATTATGACATAACAAAGAATTTTATAAAGCATGCATAGTTAACAAAATTCACAAATTATTTTTACCTCAAATAGCTTTTGGAAACTAAACCCGTCCTACGCATAGCCTAAATTTCAAGATAATTTCGGATTTACCACCACTTAACATTAAAAGAAAATATATTTACTTTGCTTCATTTTAAAAGTCAAATTTTAAGTCATTCAGTTACTAGGATATATAGGATTATATATAGGTTATAAGGTATTTTTCCCGCCTTCTTAACATGCCTTCGAGGTGTAGTGGTCAGCACACTCGGCGCGTATTCGAGAGGTCCGTGATTCGAGTTCCGGCGAGGGCATCTAATTTTTCCTATCTCCTGCTTCCAAAAAAGTACCTAATGTCTCTACAGTGGCGCCCGAACTAAAAATAAAGGTGGTGAATGAGGATTCTCCACCACCAGGATTTGGCGACTGGGTCCCCTAATCCCCGTCGTTGACACGAATAACGTCACCCTTTAAAAGAGGGAATATATAAGGTATTTCTCACGCCTTCTTAGCATGCCTTCGTGGTACAGTGGTCAGCGCGCTCGGCGTTCACTCGAGAGGTCCGTGATTCGAGTTCCGGCGAGGGCATTGCTCATTTTTCATCTCTCCTACTTTAAAAAAAAAAAAACTAATGTCTCTACAAGGTACTTCAGTTATTGTTCGCTTTGAACATTTTTCGTTTATCAATCTCAGATATGAGAAACCGTCTTATGCAAATCCGTTTTATCTTATAAATCACTTTCAGAAATTTTTATAGGCGTGGCCATCGTATATTTGGCCTTATGTGGTACTCGTAGTATGGACATCATGGAAAACTTTCGAATAAAAAGGGTAGCTAGATTTATGTAATGGTATGCATGAGCACTATTGCTACCTCTCAGTGAGTATCCCCCTGAGATATTTAAACTAATAATAATAATAATAAAGATAGAAGAAAAATATATATTAATTACTTTGAATTTTCTATTTTTTAAGCTAAAAATCATCAATTATTATATAAAATTATTAATACATTTATATTAAATACTTGAATTATTATACTATTGCATATAATCACATTTACATAAAAAGGAGAAAAAAAATAATTTACTTCTGTTTGCCTTTATTTGCTCGATGAGTATATATAGCAATAACGGTTAACGGATGAGTAGCGTTGACACGAATAACGTTATGTTAACTTTGTCTCCGTGTGTTATATGCTGTTGTGGCACCTAAGTCACTGACCTTAACGGTCACATTTGTTAAGCAGCACTCTGACTGCAATAGCTGCAAAAGGTAAACAAGTGAAACGAACTCAGTTGCCAGTAGTTCTTATTCGAACCAAGTAAAAAATACAGTGCTTTCACTTCCCTCATCATAAAAGGCAAAGACAACTTACCAAATAGTAATATAACTTACACACAAGAAATTATTATTCAACCCAGAGATCTTAGATTATAAAATGCAAAGGGAAAAAAGTGTGCATGGTGTGGACACAATCAGCTCATCACTATTTAGTGTTAATGTTTAAAAAAGTTTAACAATGTTTTTATCCGAAACATTATGTACTGTGAAGTTTTTTGATTAATTTTTTGAGTTAATTTATTTTGTTAAATTACTGCTCATTGTTGTTTGAAGTTTGAGTTATGATGTAAAATAAAGCAATAAAAACAATCTGAAAGGACTCAGATTTTATATTACGGCCTAACGGGGCTTTTTTGTTATTTACACACATATACACGTTTCGAGAGTATTTGAGCTAACGCCACATTGTGCTAAAAATATTTAAAAACAGCACATCTTCAAATCTTTAGAACTTCCAATAACAGTTTCGCGCCCTAAAAATGAAATTTCCCCACCCTACAGTGTTGCCACTGCTCGCTTTAAAATTGTTTAGTTTTTTAATCGAAAATTCGTTAAAGTTTCAAAAAATATGAGATAGACAATAAAACAAATTTCAAACTCGGGCTTCCATGTTCGGTTGTAGGACTATGTTATACAAAATTTTATGACTCTAGTACAGTTTTTTTTTTTTTTTTTTTTTTTTTTTTTTTTGTTATAATGCAAGAAACATACATCAATGCAAGGTTCTTCATTATTTAATTTCTTTAAATATAACACTCGGCGATAATATTTGGTGCAATAATTCGAAAAGTGATTCAACGCTTTTAGTGATTCGACGCAAAATGCCGTTTGAAGATTAATAGCCCTTCGGAGCTAACGCCTCTTTGGATTAATAGTTGTTCCACTTCATTTAATCTTTACTTAATATTATTATTTAATTTCTTTTAAACTTATCCTCAAATGCATGTGCAGCTTTAAAGTTGGATTTATTCTCCACTTTTTAATTCTCCCATTCTCATTTCCATGCACCGTAGCGAATTGCATGCGTTCGTTAATTCAATTCGGTAAAAAATCGAGAGTTTACTAGTTCACTTTATAAAACCGGAACCTGGAGATTTGTCTTAAAAACGGAGTTTCCATAATGATTTTCCGTAAGATAACTTCAGTTACGAATAAAATTTATTATTCAACGTAGTTGGTAAATAATGATACATTAGAACTTTATTAGGAATAATATGAGAGTATCTAATAATAGAATATTTATAACAATAATAAGCAAAATTTAAAAAAAAAGCTGTACGAACTGAATAATACGAGAAAAATGCATCAGATAAATATTTTCATAGCTTTCACGATCTGATGAAAACGCTTAACAAAACGGCACGCGAAGATTATTTACTTGACTGGCTGGGATATCCATAACAAGCAAAAAGCCCGCGCGCGGGAACATGAGTCACAACGGAAAATGCAAAGAAGGAACAGGTGCTTCGCTCTTTTTGCTATGTGATTGTGAATCATTTAGTTTGCAAACACAAAATCATGCCAAATTTTACGAGTGACACGCCAACGAGAATCTGAATCGTGTCTCAGATTTTTGTCACGTTGAATAAGAAACGTGTCTTGTTGATACAGTCTCGGAGACGAAAGAAGCAAAATGAGAAGTCGTTATCATGAGATCAATATCTAACACGGCTAATGAACTGACGCAATCTCAAGAATTCTTTCAAATGAATTCCAAAGGTTTCTTTTGTCTGTTCTCATCGATAATTTCTGAGAAGAAAGACAGGTTTAATAGAATAAATTGATAAGCCTCACAATACTTTCTAAGCTCTATTACATCGGAAATTATTTCATTTTCATTTTTTATGGCTGTCTTTTATTCTCACCATTCTTCATTTAAAAATTTGTTTTGACCCAGAACTTTGCCAGGATTCAATACAAACCAATGAATTAATTTCTAATTAAATAAAAGCAGCTCTTTTAGTGAAATGTACGAAAAGGAATGCTATTTCCAAAAACAAGAAACCGAATATGTCTGATGTAGTGAAATTAATTAATTCAAAATATCTTATAACATTTTTCTTTCATAAAATAAATTTTGGAAATGAAACTAGTAATTTACACACCTACAGTTAAAAAATGTTCGGAAGTAAAAATGACCAATAAAAATAAATAAAAAATAAATAAAATGTATTGTAATCAGTATTCAGTAAAAATAATACAGTGGATTCTCTCTTAGTTACCACCAAACAAAAGTGGCCAGTAATATGGAGCGCATAATTAAACTTTGGTATTTATAACTGAAGTACGGCATTTCTTAAATACAACTATCCACAATCTGACTGACCCTACAAATATGTATATAGGAGACCCTTAAAATATCTAGTTACGCTATTAAACTGAAGTATTTTATATACTAAGTAAAATATTTTTATTTTCAGATTTTACGAAAAACATTTTAAATCAGCGTGATATAATTTATCATGTAAGTTTTACTCGGATTATAAAACAGCTCTCACTGAATGATTCATCACAATCCATAATTTATGCTGATTTTTTTTTATTTCCTTTTTCCTCTGCTATCAACATAAAACAATTTTTTGGGGGGAATTACTGAAAAAAAAATTTAACATTTTAGTATAATAAATATTTGCTTAAAAACATAAGATCAGTTTTCGTATTTTTAACACTATTATATGAGCAAAATAAAAATTTATTAAAAAAATAAGTGACAGGGAAAAAAAATCTGAAAGCTTTCAGATTTTATATTACTGCCAAAGGCGCGTTTTTTATTTATTTATTTATTTATTTATATTTTTTTTATTTTTTATTTACACACACATACACTTTTCGAGAGCATTTGGGCTAATTTCCTTTTGAACTAAAAATATTTTAAAACAGCATATCTTTAGAATTTCCGATAGACAGTCTCGCGCGCTGGAGATAAAAATGTTTTTTTGTTTTTTTTTTCCTACAGCGTTGCCATTGCTAGCTTTGAAATCATTGAGTTTGTTAATCAAAAATTCGTTAAAACAAAATATGAAATCGATGATAAAACAAATTCAAAATTCTGGCTTCCGAGTTCCCATGTTCCGGTGGAGGATGACGTTATTCAAAATTTGATGACTCTACGCACTGTCTTTTTTTCACATTGCGAGAAATATACATACATTCACTCATGCAGATTCTTCATTATTTAATTTGTTTAAATATAATACAGGGCAATAATATTTGTTGGCAACAATTTGAAAAGTGATTCGGACTTTCATAGTGATTCAACGCAAAATCCCGTGTCGAGACTAATAGCCCTTATGGGCTAAAGCTCCTTTGGATTAAAATATAAGCATTAAATTTAGAAAAATATCATTATAGTTCTTGAAAATACTTCTGGCTTCAGAAGAGGTTAACAGACTTCACTGAATGAATATTTTAATAGGTAACCACTGTTTTTTGAATTATTGAAAGAATATTTTAATAATACATACTAATGTTGAATATTTTAATAATACATACTAATGTTAATACATACTAATGTTTTTGGAAATACTGAAAAAAAAATTATAATGAAGGCTTTTATGATAAATATTCGCTTCAAGTGTAAAATCTGTTCTGTTTTAAAATAAAAAATCAATTAAAAACATAAATGACAGATAAGGAAAGGGAATAAACTTAGCTTTTAAAATAATTAATTTCCTAAAATGCAATTAATTTTCTGAAATATTTTTAAACCTGTATATATTATTTAACCATTTTAAGAACTGTTAAATACTGCAACTAATAATTAACAGATCAACATGCAGAATTCTACTTTAGTATTTTCTTAAACTTGCTTTACACGAGCGTTGCCTTAACGCAATGTTTGTAAGTTTAAAACTGGTTAAAAAAGGGTATTGTTTAACTCTCTCATATAGCTGGTTGTAACGTGTGTATTTAATTATGGCAAAGCACACGAGGGCTATCTGCCTAAGGGGAGGGATGCCTTTCGTGGAGGACTTTCTAAGGGAAACTGGCTCGCATACACGTTACACATGGGGAAAACCACGAAAACGCCCATGCAGCCAGCCCGTTCGCGGGATTCGAACCTCGGACCGAACTACCAGTGTTCAGCGACTTTACCGCTCGGCCGCTGGTGGGCTGGTTGTAACGAAAAACGTTCTTAATTTTCTGAAATATGTTTCTGAAATATGTTTTAGAAAAAAACATGAAACCAGTACCTTTAGTGCGGCTAGTAATCGCCGCCCAAAATGTAGATTTTCTGCCAACATTTTGGTAGTTTTTTAAAGCCTTCGGCCAAGAAACTTGGTGGCTTCGACTCCAAAAACAGATCAACCTCATTTCAGACGTCCTGTTCAGAATGGAAAATAGCACCAGTAAGATGTGGCTGCAGGTCTGAAAAAAAAAAGTCCGAAGGAGCGATGTCGGGTCTATATGGTGAGGGTGGCAAAAGATCCCATTCGAATCCATACAGAGTTCAGCCTGCGAATTTCCATCACAAGTGACGATCAAGTCCAAAATTTTGTCCTTGGGTTGATATTCGAGCAATTTCCGATAGACAGTATCCCGTAATGCACTTTTCTCCCCTCGCTAATATGAAATATATGATAAAACAAATTAGTGGAAACTCGAAGACGTCTGTCCTTATTTGCTTCAGGTCATGCGGCACCCAGCGATTGAACTTGTACGTCAAGTTTATGCGACGCATAGCGCTACTAATGGACATGGCACTTAACGTCTAAAACCTCAGAAAGCTCTTGTGTAGTTGCATACCGATCTTCCACAAGTTCTCGCAGGCGGGCTTCATCAAAAGATCCCATTCGAATCCATACAGAGTTCAGAGTAGTAACCCGGCCAGAGTGCTCTGCTTCTTGAATGTCATAGTCCTTGTTTTTGAACTTTTGGTACCAAAACTTCACAGTGTCATATGATACAACATTAGTACCTAAAGCTATACACATGATTTGGTGACATTTTGTAGCTGACGTTTTGCAACAGAACTGAAAGTAAATGATGGTTCTAATCTGGTAGCGTGATAGCTCCATTTCAGACATCTTGTACTTAATACTAACGGTATTTTTTTTTACAAATTTCACAGCACAGTGTTCTAAAGCAACTTTGTTTCTTTCAAATGCCAAAAATGCGATTAAAGACGCTAACGCGAACTGTTTGCGCAGACGATATTTGCAGTGGCGGGAAACTTTCCTTAAAACACGATATTTAAAGAAATTAAATAATGAAGAATCAGCATGAATGTATGTATATTTCTCGCACTGTGGAAAAACAACGATACCTACAGCCATCAAATTTGAAGTCCTTCAACCTAGTCCTTCACCTGAATATGGACACCTGAAAACTTGAATCTTGAATTTCGAATTTGTTTTATTATCTATTTCATATTTTTTTTTATCTTAAACGAATTTGTGATTAAAAAACTCAATGATTTCAAAGCGAGTAGTGGCATAAAATATCTTTATCTCCAGCGCACGAGACTGTCTGTCGAAAATTCTAAGATAAGCTGTTTATAAATATGTCGAAAAGATATGTTTTTTAGCCCAAAAAGGCGTTAGTATAAAAGCTCTCGAAACGTGTATGTATGTGTAAATGAATTCAAATGGGAATTAAAAAGAGGTGAAATCTCCCCAAAAGGCGAAATCCTTTGTTAATACAACCAATTACAAACAACACATAAATGATTCATAAGCTGAAATTCATAAGTTGCAAAAGAAGGACTTTCATCTCAGAAAATCAAAATTAGTATCATACCTGCCGGGGATGGTTTTTTAATTTTCTTTCCTTTTGAATAATGAATGTTATTAAATATCTAAATAACGTACATGAAAATAAATTAAAAACGCTATGTCTAAAGTAATTTTATTTTTGATATTTAATTTCAATGTTTTAATTTTTTTCTTCCTTTACTGTTAGCAAAGTCGTCGATGATATTATCGAAGTCAATTTTGTTTCTCATTTGATGTTCTATAGATAGTACAACCACAATTCATAGAAGCAAAGTCTCATAACCATTGAGCACATGAGGAAAATTCGCTTTTTATACATGCTGTGTTACAATATTTCAAAATACGTTCTTGAGATTTCATTTTAGTATCCAATACAAAAGCTCAAAGGGTCTATCTTTCGATACTTTTATTTCGTCTTTCGAAGTAAACAACAGAAATAAATTTCTGAAAATATTTTTTCCTCAATGAGCAACTCATTCTTATTTATGCAATTTAATCGGGATTTAGTTGACATTCGTGTCGATCATACAAAGGTTTCTATGATTAAGGAAAACATGGAGACCATACCGCTGTTTTAAAATCTTTTGATAATTTTTTGTTCTAGCCCGCAAAAAAATAATTTCTGCTTACAACTAAAGTTAGCTGTGAAACGTCAGCATCTCTTGATTTTTCACTTGCACAGTTTCTTTTTCCTGTTTTGATCCTTCATGACAATCCCTAGTTTACCACAATTTTTTTTTTTATATAAATTACTGATTTGTTATATGATTACTCTTTCCTTTGTGTGTAGATAGATCGTGTGTCTTTTATAATGTAGGAAGATTTGAAAATGTAGCAGTCGTGTATCTTTTAAATGTAGAAAGACGGATTCTTGGAACAAACAAGCAAACACACACACACACAAAAAAAAAAAAAAAAATCTGATGTGTACATCCACATAACTTGCCTTGTACGGAATATTAAATTATACGCATTTTTCTTGCATTTCATTAAGACTTATTGGATGGATTAAATCTACTTCGCCGACAGCGCATAAACCACAATAGAATAAAGGCATTCTTTAAAATTCACTCTATTTGTTTACCATAGCGACACTCTGGCGTTAGGTTCACTTAACAGTATTATATTTCGTTCATATTATAACTCATAATGCACAAAATTTATATCATTTAAAGAATTATCTAATCGTTGCCACATGTTCTCAAATACTATAATAAAGCTAGGACAATGTACAAAAGAAATTAAGCAAACAAAACAAAAATGAAACAGTTTTTCACAGACGATTGAGTATTTCACATTCAATTAATTCAGTTCCCACTTCGCGACAAGGCAAAAATACATAAAAGCTTAAAATATCCGTATTAAAAATTACGAAGTAAATCTTAAACACTTATTTCGTCTAAAAAATTCCAGAAAGGATTAAGCATGATTTAATTCGCAATAATAAATGAAGGCGTTATTATTACGTTTCTCTAGATTGGCAACAAATCCACTACTCTGCTGTTTCAAATGTAAACAAGCAATGGCCGCCATCAAAAACATTATTAGCGGCACTATTATTATTAGCGGCACTTAAACAACTTTAAAATTGTTGATAATTCTAAAAACATTGAACATACAGATTTACTAAAGGCACAAAAACCTTAACCGGAAGATAAGAACAACATAATTGAATCATCTTTAAAACAAAAAAATGTACAATTTACAAACATATAAGAGTAAAGAAACTGAGATCACTGAGCCGGGTAACAGAGTGGATATATATTATAAATATATTTATATACGTTTGGCGTGGCCGATTGCAACCAAAATACGAGGTGCACATCTACATGTTATAGTAATGAAACAATTATAGTAATCCTATATACAAAATTTCAA